TTCATCAGTCCCAAACTTTTTTCCATTTTCTTCTTCATTTATTTTAATTTTGCTCAAAAGTATGTATTACCGAAACTAAAAGAGATTGAAAGAAGTAAATCTAAAATGAAATTATTTAATTTTAGTCATATAGTATTGAATTGACATTGCCACTTGACTTATCATTAAAATGAGTTGGAGCAGATTTATGACAAAAATAAATTAAAATGTTCATCATTAGTAAAGGCATTACAAAATGCTTGATTATAAGAATTGAAAACGATTTCAGTTCCAACTCAAGGGATATCAACTAAAAATCTGGCAAAACCTTCACCTACATTTACACGTCGACTGTATTCTGCCTAAGTAAGTGACAAGAAGCTTCATACGAAACAAACTAAACGACAATGGGAATCAAAATGTTATTAAAGCATATGAAATCCTTTCATAAATTTATTTGTCTTAATCTTAAATAGCTTTAAATAAATTGCTATTAAACGCCTACATAATTTGATATTTTAATTTATATTACCATCTGATTAAATGTTGTTGATTAAAATTTGATATTTTAATTTATATTACCATCTGATTAAACCCAGAATAAATACACTCAAATGATATTATCATTTGATCTAATATTGACAAAAATATTAAGATTGTAATGATTAGATAAAACAAGCATTTAATAATAACAGAATAACATTAATAAATAAAATTTAATAGATTGTCGACGATTGTCAACAAATAATTATATTATCTTAATTAATTTAAATTGAATTCGATTTCATTAATAATTAATTTATATTACTGTCTGATTATATAGTATTGAATTGGCGTTGTTACTTGACTTATCATTAAAATGAGTTGGAGCAGATTTATGATAAAAATAAATTAAAATGTTCATCATTAGCAATTCACTAGAAATCAAGCATATATTTATTTCCTTCCTCATTAATTCACTCTCCTATTGATTATATTTAAATTTTTCCGATAAAAATTCTTAAGAATTATCATCTAATCTTATCACTAAAAGTAAAGCAAAATATAACACAAGTGGAAATGGCAATTATTTGAACAACTATTAGTCGGAATGTATCAGATATCGATCAGTTTTGGAAATTGGAATTTATTGGTGTGAAAGAAGAGCCAAAAACAGTAGACGACGATAAAGCGTTTTCTCAATTTAAAAAAAGCATCAGTAAACATAATGGGCGATATGAAGTTAGTTGGCCGTGGAAAGAAACAAAAATAAATTTTAAAAGTCATTATGGGTTATGTTTAGGAAGATTTAGGTAACTTATAGCAAGATTACGAGACGAACCAAAGTTACTTCAAAGCTACGACAACAGTATTTGAAAACAATTAGCGTGTGATATGATCGAAGAAGTTACCCCAGAAATGGATTAAGAAGGTATAATACATTATTTTTAATGATATGAAGAATATATACGTAACAAAGAAACAAATATAAGAGAAACAAATATTGTTCTTACATTTAACAAAGAAACAACAAAATTTAGAGCGGTATACGACGCTTCGGCCCATTTGAAAAAATGACAAAAGTTTAAACGACGTATTATAGCGTGAACCATCTACACTTCCAGATCTTTGTGAAGTATGGAAGCAATTACAAACCAAAACGGTGACAATTTCTTTCAAATAATTAATACCAATCGCTTTAGCAAATGGATGCGATTAGTAAGAACAATTATCTGGTCACTAAGATTCATTAAACGAATCACAAAAAAAAAAAAAAAATAGACTATATAAGCATAAAGGATCAGTTTTCCCTATCATCTCTTCATATTTCATCCTTTTGAATATGATATGATTTCATTACAATTTGAAGAATGATTGATGCTGAAAACAATAGTATCCTACAGAATGATTGCTTTTCTTCTTTTTGGTTCATTTACTTTAAAAAAAGACGACCGTGTACTGACTGCACTTATGATACTATAGACTGATTTTAGTAATGTCATAAAGCTAACCACCAACAAGTAAATAACAATCAGAAGTTTATTGTGAAAATAAGAAATTTGAAATGTAAAGCAATACAAGAAAAATATTAGCAAAATTAAGGAGGGAGGAAAAATGGATTAGTAGATCAAGAATTAATTCTCTTAGGAAATTGTTCGACTTATTTCTTCACTCGATTGCTTTTGCTTTATTTATTGAAATTTTCAGTCCAGTTTACGTAATTGGGATTCTGTCTGACGAGCATTAAATCTCACTTTATGGTATTCATTAGTGATACTTGAATTCTTTTCTGAGTCACTCGAAAACTAAATCCACTGATACGCGAACGGATGGATAATTTCCTGCTTCCGGCTGCTTTCCACAGTGATAGTGATCGTGTCCCTTCGAGCTGCGATTGTCATCTTTCCATACCTGCTCCTCTCATTTGTTTTAGGCCAAGTTGCACAATATTTATAATCAGTTGAGGAGCGAGCGCGTTGATTACAACTTACCAATCTGCTCTGTGTATCTACTGCTGTTGCTTCGTCCTTCCACTGTACCCAGTATCGTTAACATTGCAGTAAAGGGTTAGGAGTGGGCTTCGAGCAGCGATCAACAATGGAAAACACCGAAGTGAGCAGCAGAGGCGTATCAGCCTTTGCGATTTGCGATTGTATCGTAAAGAGAGCGATCCAACCCGACGAGACAAACAGCAGCTATATTTGGGTTTGGCGCTACGGCAGTAATAAGTTGCGGATGAATTTATGGTCATCACCATAAATGGCTTTCTACCAAAATAAGATTATCCATTGTCGTGTGGCTATTCCACATACCTTTCGTTTCTCTACATTCCACTTTGCATATTTCATGTTATATGAAGGTTAGAGAAATGAGTGACCGCTCAAACTACGAATCCAATCGCCCTCATCAAAAATAATTTTAAATTTGATACGAGAAATGATAAGATTGCCAAGAATGAATTTATGAGAGCTATAGGACTGATAAGTGGAATATAAGAAACTAGATACATAAGTATAATTATTCGCAACTGATCATCTAATCATCTAATGATAGTATGCTGATATCTTTACCTTCACACATTTCTTATTCAAATAATTATTTAAAGAGTATTTTCTCTTCAATAGAATTATTTGAATTTATTCTGCAATATAGATTCTTGAATTATCAGATATGGAGTTGCTTTAACTGCTTAGAGGAGTAACCAAATAATTGACATCGTTGCAGTCCATATATCACAAGGTTCAATCATTTGTTGGAAACACCAAAGTTGGAACGATGGTTTCGTACCGACCCCAATCCATCCCGGCAGAAACTGATTAATTATATGAACGTACTCAATGGTTCCAGTTATCGGCGGCATAATGTTAAAGTAACGTATCAGCAAATCTGTAATTGGTTTGCAAATCAACGTGCTGCTAATAGGTTCTGTATTCTTGAAGGAATTTGTGAAATATTAAATTATATTTTAGTTGCACATAGTTGAATAAGTAACGCTTAAATTGAAGTAATTAATTTTGTCGCTGGAAAGTGCGGAACACGAAAAACTATCATGAAAAAGCATGCATAGTATTATTTTGAAATATCCAGCAAGTTTGGTTCTCGTTACATTTGATCATTAGAACGGATTTTTTATCCTACTACTCATCTGTTTTTTTTTTTTGAATAGCATGTTCTGGATTGGTATGAGAAACCAAATAGCGGATAGGAAAATATCTGACGGCAAAAATTATCACTTTGTATTTTATGAAATTTCATCATTTGGTTTGCTATTCACCATATTTAGAAAATTAACAAAAGCTGTCAGCTGCTTCCCATTCATTTATATCGGAAAAAAATGACAAGAAACTAAAACATATTATGGCTGATAAAAAACTATTGATATCTATTTCATAAATTCAAGTTCCGACTTTTTCCATGAAGTTAGTTTTCTCTAATAATCAACTTTTAATATCGTAAATAATATCTTCCAATTTAGTTCCTTGAAAAGCAATACAGATTGATGAGGAACTATCCTTAAACCTAAAGTAATGGTGCAGAAGTTATTGAGGCATTATTTGAGAAAAAACATTCAATTTTAAAAGTTTCGACTTTGGAAATCTTTTGAACCTTTTAGTGGTACCACTGTTCAGAAAAGATCTGAATAATTCTTAAGTAATGTACGAAGACTTTGATTCTATCACAATAATTTTGATTATTTTATGAAGGGAGAGAATCTAGTTTGACTTATGCTTATTCACATTGTGGTGACGCTAAAAAAAATGCTAGAAACTAAATGCAAATACATTTTGAATTTTTTTTCGGACAAATTTTGCTAGAAACAGTTGTGCAATTTAATTTTGATACTAATGCTTTACTAAATTATGTCATTATAATTTTTTGTAGGAAATCACCTCAGTCGAATCGTACTATCGCTACACATTGTCCATTATCAGTGGACTGTCATCCATTTTACTTCCACCTCAGTCACATTCTAATTCATTCGGTCAATTCCGTCCAAAATTTGATTTTAATAGCTTGTTGGGTAGCAAACAAGCGAATGGAAGTGGCAGTGATGTAAGTATTTTGCTGAAATTTTGTTAGTTGTATGCTTGTTGATCTGATCAAATTAATTATAAATTGTATTCGTGGAATTGCAAAAGGCAATAAAATCTGATGAATGAAGATATATGAAGCAGCTTTGTATAACTCTTATTTGCGCTATGTGAGCAACTGTTATGATATTTTAAAGCAAATAAAACTTTTTATCATATCGAAGGAGGCTCAGAATCGCCGACACCGAATGATGATATTAGTGTGCACAGCGCCATCGATTGTGGTTTTGATCAGATTTCTGTATTGATATAGGCATTCTTGCAGTTTTTCATAGAGAATATTTCAATCTTTTATTAGCCTGTTGTGTTGAATAATACTTTTAGTCCTTTTTAAGCATTATGTACCATTGGATATTTTGCATTAGAGTACAATATTTCTATACTTCTTAATTTTTTTGTAGGATTCTGCAACTTCATCTCCGGAAATATCTTTCGATTTAAATAGTGGTCATGCGTCAATACCGCCGAAACCAGCCGGTGGAGACACTGTTGGATATCAAGACCACAGCAAATGCAGACATCCTCAAATACAGTCGCTCGATCAAGATTAATGTTCGATCCACTCACGGAGTTACCAGTCCTAGAGAAATGGTTTGAAGAAAATCCACATCCTACTTGGCTACAAATCTTTACGCTAGATTTGTTATTAGTATTTGTGGAAACTCTAGATATACATTCGAGTTTAAGAATATCGGCATAGATCGCAAGTCATATCCTCAAACATTTGTTTTTCTCTAATTCTCAGCAAAATTAGATTACTTTAGTTGTGATTGTTTTCATATTGTTTAGAAAAATTAGTTTAGGTAGTCTTTTCACTTACTTTCGCATATTTTTAAGTTACGAAATCACTCGAAACGCATTGCAAGTTTTTTCTGAAGAAGAGATGATTGATTGAAAATGAATATAAAATATTTAGCAATTCAGCTTAAACAGTGATCTCGGAAATATAAGAATGCTCGACATTTTCTGCGTCGAGATCATTCTATAATTCAGTATAATTTTGTCAGTAAATATTATTCTTAGACAGCATAAATTTTTTACAACTTTAGATTGACCATTATACTGAAGCGTCGAACAACTGTCAATATAGACAAAGTTATCCACCAATTTCAACGCACAATGTTAAAATCTGGTTCAAAAATCGGCTAAAAAAGTGTAAACGTATAAAAACTGGTGATCTGAATTTAAAGATGATGATTTGAGACGTTTCCGCTCCAATGAACTTGAAAAAGCTGAACCAGTCTAGAACTTTGCTTAGCGAATAAGATAAATGCATTAGTATATTGCTATGTATAATAGATAGAAATAACGTCAAGCAAACAGGCAAAGTTGTTTTCATGCTTTATGATTTTCTTATGCCGAATGCACTTTAAATAGCATTGTGATATTTGCTATTTTCGAAACATTTCCATGAAAATTTTGATAGATTGATTTTTAATCTTATGGAAATCGCACAACTCTTTCTATAAGGTCTTTTTTACTTGTTGCTTCTGAGTGCTTCTGTTGTTTCAGTTTCTTTATTCTTGATATTTCAGCTGGCTTAAAGATAGCCATATGATGGGATGGTCAACAATGAAATAAAGTTAACATGAATTTAAACATAATATGCGGACTTAAACGTAAATATGATGGAATCCTTAAAATCTTTGTAGACGTCATATAAGTAAGTCATGTAAGGGCATGATCATTACTACTGCAAAACCTTAAGTAAGGACATTCTATTGAAGATTAATTCTATTGAAGATTAATTTTAGAAAATTTAATAAATTATACAATAAAAGAAGCAAGACCATGGTACCACTATTATTATTTCGGAAGAACGCTGCTAATATATCAGCAATAGTGAAACTTCAGTGTTGTGAAAAATTAAATTTAAAATTTTCGTATATTGTATTTTTCTTGATCTCATTTCCATTTTAAGAGAAAACGTTTTTCGCCCTGTCCGCGTTCTTTAGTCTCTTTATTTTGCACCCCACCTTGTCAAATTGGAAGCTTTTGATTTTTTGAAGTTTATGAAAATAATCAAGGTATCATTGATCTGAATGCCATTTATAAAACAGTTTGATATGAACTTATTTTTAATTTTTACAATATTCATATTCTTCCTTTTTCGCCATTTTACGGATTTAAAATTGCCATAAATTACAAATAGAACATGATAACTTTATTTCATGATTTTCTTCCAGTGATGTTTTTGCGTTTTATTAAATATTCAGTTTTCAAAAATGCAGGAAAAAATAGAATCTTCACTAAAAATATTTTTTTAAACAATTCCATAATTTTTCCAGGAGAAGCTTATATTGTGCTCGTCTTGTATGCAGAAATGATGTGATATTATTTATTGAATTATCTTTGTAATTGACGATATATGTTATGATAAGATATGTCAAATTTAGTATTAATTCCCTTTCATCATTTGAGGCTTTTTTCCAGTTCATATGTGATTTTGGGTTTCCACTAAAGTTTTATTTAGAAAAATCTGCTTATTCTGGAAGTTTAGTGGAAAAAATTTGATCATGGACAAAAGAGAAATGCTAAAAATTAGAAAGCGAATAATCTTTTTACGAAAGTTTGTGTTTGTAGCAACGTTTGTATTGCTATTGCTGTGCCTAAAATCCTTATTCCATTTCTAATTTTCCTCCATTATTGTATCGCTTTATAATATCGTAATTCTGCTCCAAATGCTTCATTATTTTTTATTTGTGCTGTCAAAAACTTAACTTAAAAAATTAAAGTTCTTACAAATGCAATAAGCCAGCTTTAAATTTAAATTTACATGAGAATCATATTTCATCGATATTGTCAAATTATCACTCGATTTACTATTTATAGTGGATTTTTAACAAGAAATAGATTTTTGATCATTCTTGTAGTTAGTCAAATGTAGATTTTTGTGCACTGCTATTCCTTACATGGTCTGAAATGCAAAAATACAATCAATGAAGTTAATGGTCTTATTCAAATTCATTTTGACCACTTTAATCTTGATCTTAATTGGCCTTATCTAGGTTGTATGCAAGCTAATAGTTGAGTTACCAACTTGCTTATTTTTAATTATCATTATGTCCTATTATAGAGCTTCCACATCCATATAGTACTTAAGAGAAATGACTTAAATATGCTTTTCTTTCCAACTTTTTTTATTGTTCGTTATTTTAATTTGTCTAAGTAATTTTTTTTTTCTCTTTTCCATATATTCGTTGAACGTGCTAACGAATAAATAGTTCCAGGTCAAACAATGCAACATTAACCCCTTAGGAGATAAAACATTTATTCCGTTTCAAATCGTTATCACTTAAAATTTAGAAATGTTTGCTAGTCACTATTTTTAGTTTAGTATACTGCAAATACTTCATAGCTAAATCGATTCAAAAGTTTTACAGAAATACAACATCCTGATTGGAAAGACGGCATTCTCATTTCAACTTAATATATTGCTAATGAATGAAATCTATCCGATAATTCAACTGCCGCTGATTCTTTTATCTTCGTTAGAAATTTTAAAGAACTTCAAGTTCGATTCGACAAAAAATTATTAGCAGGCACTTTTTTAAAAGATGATTAGACTACTTACTTTTCTGTTCAGATTTTCGACTTTTCCAAAACCAGACTTGCGTGTAATGTAGACCCAGAATCATGTTTGGCAAAAATGTTAGCAATATACAAGCTAAAAATATTGCCAAAAAGAAATAATTCTGGAATGATACTGAGAAACCTTCATCTGATAGACACAAAGGTATCTGCAAACACAATGCATAATGAAAAAAGATACTAATTCCAATAGATCGGTAAACAAGATAAGTCTACGTAGTTCTGTTTTTTGATTGTTTTTCGATCTGAAAGGAGCACGTTTTTATATATGACATCAGAATTCCGGATACTAGACATCAGGATTCCTTTTAGGAATAACTTGTGGTTTGAATTTTGACACACAGAGATTATAAAGAATATTATACCATATAGGAACAGGAACGAAATTTTGCTATGGAAGTGGAAAAATTATTGTTCGACTTATCCACACTGTTGCAGATAAATTGTTGCCATTGTTGGGAATATACTGAACTTGACCCTTTACTCATGCATGTTACTGTACATGATGACCAGGGAGTCCATAAACATTGCGGATCTTTCACATGCTGCTATTATTGAAATTTTTATTAAGATGTAACTTAATAATTGCTGATTGCATATTATATCTAATTACATATTTGCTATATCCCTAATTGTCTATACCTAATTACATATTTGCTTTGTTAATTTGTCGCATAAATTTTATTTGATTCTTAGCTACAGTATACTTTGTAAATATTGTTATTAATTCTTCAAGGAATTATTTTGTTTTAACTACTACTTTAATATGATGCGATACGAAATGATTGGAAATAATTTACTTTTGCTAGCACATCGCCACAATATAGTGCTAAATGGAATATTGAAAAGGAAACAGAAAGATGACCGGTTGATGTCATTTTCGAACTGGCATAAATGTTTGATTATTTGTTTGTCTTTTTGATCAATTAATAGTGATAGTCTAAATGAAACTTTATTGGAAAATTCAAATTTCTACCTAGAACTTTTCTTCGTGTCTATCAAACTTCAAAGCAATATCAAAAATTATAATCTTTTAGCTGTTCTCCTAATGAAATTATCTCCTTATTTCCTAGAAGTTAAATTCAATTTCTTATAATGTTCATCTTTCAGGTTATTAAATCCTAAAGTAATGCAAAACTGGACTTCCAGCTTATATTACCATAATTTGCATAAGCAACAAATTTTTACGTGCATTCATAAATTCATAAAAGATAAAGATTTCCTTAGCATTATAAATAATTGGATGTATCTGAACTGACTCATTTTTATCAATTAAAGAACTAACGAATATTGCAGTCATGCCTTTTTTCCAAAAGTATGTACCATAGGTAATCAAATAACTACACAATGAATATTAAAAATTAGTCAAGTAAGAAAAGCCACAGGTATTCTGAGACTTCTTAGAAGATAAATAAATTAATGATTCAACTTCCCTAACTGGTTTTAATTTAATTGGTATATATTTGGTTTTTAAGAGACATTTTCATTCTGCTCGTAGTTTCGAAGTACTCTTTCATACCTCAAAGAGAAGAAAAGGTATTGTGACACTGAGTATGTTAAACGCTGAAATAGGGAGCAAGCAAATTCAAAAGATTCTGCACAACATATGAATCTTATAGAGAATAATTTAAAAATTAAATAGTACCAAATAAATAACAATTTAACAATTAAATATTAAATAATAGTTTAACAATTAAATAATCGCTCAAGCTAATGATCTTTCTTGTATCCCATCTATCATTTCCAGCAGAGGAAAAACAAAACCAAAGAAATCGATAAAGGATCAGCAAACATCGGCTAAACGAAATCAGCGAATGGTTTTCAGCGCCCAAAAAACTGCTGCCACCAGACAAGTAATTTTTTTGTTACAAATTCAGTGGCAGCTTTTGATCACTTGGGTAGTAGAGAATTTATTTACAGATTTTATTTTGAAATCCATTTTTTAGCTTTCATGTGTCTCTGCAAACCGACCAAGCAATCGCCGCGTCGCACATAGTCAAAAGGCATCCGGAAAACATATAGAAGTGGCGGGGAGTGATCGTCAAAGAGATCAGGAAAAGCAAGATCAAGCAGTGCAAGATCTAGTTGAACATTTGAAGTCCATTGCACCATTCAACAAACGTTGGCAAGTAAGTATTTTGTGGACTCTAACCATTTGGATAGACAACAAAGAGAATTTTAAAATGTTGTGGTTTTGCAAATTATGTAATGAATTTGGAAAAAATTAGTCATAAGATCATGTCCAGGTAATTGAGACAATCAATCAAGGTACATATGGTGTGGTATTTTCTGTTCGCGATGTCGTCACAAAAGTATACGGTGTCATTAAAGTGGCTAAATCGATGGCCAACGAAGCTGGCAATGTTTCAGCTGAGTGGGAAGGATTTATTTTAGAAACGATGTTTAAAAGAGTACAGCTTAATACTTAATATGAGAATAATGATTCTTGTTTTCTGCATTTGATGTGCTGAAAATACAGTATAAGGCAAAAATGTATTTCAAAACAGAAGGACGGATCGAATCATTTTGATAATAATAAAATTAGTCCGTGAGTACCATCAATTTTTTTTTCACATTAAAAACATAGAGAAAATATAATTAAGAATATTTTCAAAACTACGTAAACCATTTTAAATCTAAAGAAATAAGAAGGACGGCCGGAAAAAAGTACACCGTTTAGTACACTAATTTGAAGCTTATATAGTCAATGTAACTTTCCATATTCTCGAAATTGCGAGAAAGTAAAGAAATCCATAACTTTCGCTTAAAAATAGTAAATGAAAGAAATTTAGTCCGAAACTGCATCAATCGTCCGATTGCTAGACAAGGGTATGCTTGCGGACCAACACGGTGAAGGCATGGAATTTGTAGTGCTGGAAAAAGCAGCGGTGCCAGTCAAAGATTACATCTACGAGGTAATTAGATGGTGAAATCATTATAGATCACTCATTTATTTATTGAGCGTGCTTTTTTCTGTAGTGGAAAAATAATTTCAAAAGAATAAAATTTGATATTTGCATAGGTAGAAGGAGCGCATAGAAAATATCGTGCGGCAAATATATCATTGCAAATGCTCAAAGGAATTTATGATCTTCATGCACAAGGTGCTCAGAAAATGCTGCAGATTTTTGATATTATAATTCTTTAGATGTATTCTTGTATAATATTACATCAAAATTTTACACTCATCAAAAGTTATGAGTGTAAAAGAAGCGATCGTAGAAATGTTTTCTGCCGCTGTCAATTTGGAAAAAGTATAGCAGACGTATCACCGATACTACTGTACCTTATTATCAACTGAAAAAGACATTAATAAGATCATTTTCAACGTACTTCATCATTTTAATAGTGAAGCGTGAGAAAGTTTAGAACAACCAAAATAACTTCAAATTTCCGGTCAGTTTTTAAATATATCGAAAACTTAAACATGTTCAGGACTTCTACACCGCGACTTGAAACCAGATAATATGGGTTTGTGTTCAAGAGAACAACCGATTGCACTGCTCTTCGATCTCGGTATGGCGCGGATGTACACCGATGGAGAAAGTGATGTAACTTTGCGTTTTTATCAATACAACTCTTGACTAACAGTGATTAAAAATAAATGCAATGGACTATTTCGAACCATTCTGAAGAAGTATACATGATGAGAAGTTTTATCAACTTAGTTACAAGAAATATTGGTCTCATGGTTAATGGGCCTGAAATAGTCGAATGAAAAGTAGCTATTCTTGCATAATATCTCGAAGTTAGCTTTCATGAATGTTGTTTCAACCACAATACAGTCAATAGACTAAGTTTAAGCTCATTCTGAAATCAATTCTTAGACGTTTTCTTTTTTTTTTTTGGAGATACGACCACCACGGACGTGTTGTCCGTTTCGTGGGACACCCGAATGGGCAAGTGGGCATGCACAAAAAGGACGTGAACAGACACGTTTTGATGATCTCATAGCCTGGCTTTATGTCACGTGTGAACTATTTGCAAATGAACGTGAACCCATTCAACCACTGCCATGGACATACAGAAATAATACACGGGTGAGAATATTCCTGCTCCATCAATCCTAAAATATATTCATATTGAATCCAAAAAAAAAAAAAAAAAATGACGGAATAGAAGTGACAAGAAAATTATAAGCATTTAAGACAAATTTACATTCATAAAAAAGTTCATCAATTTGAATGCAAATTTTGATGTACGAAATAAGCTCAAAGTTAATGTTTTTTCCCTCTTTTGTTTCAAGTTCTTGTTTCTACATGAAGTTGTAATAATGTATATTTATTTAGTGTTCTTTTAGGCACATAAATATTTGAAATCAATGTACTGTCCTGCTCGTTATCTCCTGAAAACACTACCAGACCAATTCTATGCAATTAACGCATACCTTCAAACAGGTTGTTATTTGCACATACACAAGCTTGATAAAATTAAACTGAATTAAATGATGAATGATTTTATGTATCAGAAAAAAAAAAAACAGCAAAATATAAAATAATATTCCACTGTTTTATTTATAAGTTATCTCTACTGCAACAATAAAAGCTAATTTTAGCAAATCCCCAGAAACCACCAGACTACCACTTCCTCGCTGAAAAAACTTATGAAGCAATCAAGGAGTTAGAAGTCAAAAAATTGCTACTGTCGCCGATACCGATGGTAACTTTGAGGTTATTAGAATTGTTATTTTCATAAACTAAATCAGTACATTCATAAACATTATACGAAAGGACTGACTGTGCTAACATGTACCCTCATTATACTTTTTACATGTTAATGTAAAAATCTTAAATACATTTATACAATTTCTTAAATACCATTATACAATTTTAAGTCTTACTTAGACACTATAAAAATCAAGTTTCCATACTCCTACAATTCTAACCTTATAGGTTGCATTTATATATGATGTACTACTGGAGATTATAATAGTTATAGAATGCTTTTTTAGACTGCTGAGAGGGTTAAAAATCCGGTCCCTAAAGGATCAAAAGGAAAGTCAAAAAGCAGAAGTAGGAAGAAATCAGATATTGAAAAGAATATGCCGAAGAATTTGAAGCAGTAATCCCAAAGAGATAATAATAAATAAAAGAATGTACTTTCATGCTCTATTGTAATATGCAAAAATGTGGTGACGAAGCAATAATAGAAATAGATACTAGCTCTCTTATCGACTGACCAATGAGTTTCAGTAAAGGGTCACTGCATATCGCGGATTCCGATACAAGTGTGGCAATCCAAATACTTGCGGCTAACGACCACTCTGTCTCCTTGACCCTTTTACCAGTGCCTCAACTTGCCTTCTGAAACTTACCTTCCAAAGGTGTTGACAGCGCGTTGCAGAAGTAAAATTCGTACTAACACAAGGGAGTGAAAGGTTCCCACGATTTGAGAGTGTCTGAATCGGATGGGTCTGGCATTAGCAGCGTTGTTGTTATGACTGCAGTTGTTTCATGATTTTTAAGACATTACCAGTTTATTTCATATGGTTGAATTGGCTGTCTGGTATTAATATGGGTAAAACAATTAGCAAATGCAAATTGCATTCGGTAAATGTTCTCTGGTGCAATGCATACAACATAATCAATTAAGTTCAACATATTGCTTTTTTTAGTAGTTTTGGCACTTAATTAAAATTGATATTCTGGAACCAATTTCCTTATTCCATGTAAGAAAACTATTACAAATTTTAAGATTTTTAAAAATTTCAAAATTTAAATTTGAAATAAAATTTAATTTTAATATTTAAATTCAATTAAAACCATGATTAATCGAAAGTTTTATTAATTTTGCTTATGATTTTTTGCGCAAAACTGTATTACAAAAGCGTATTTTAATATTTAAACTGCAAAATGACCACACCGTATATGACCAGCAAATAAAATTTAATTTTAATTCTTAAATTGAATTAAAACCATGATTAATTGAAAGTTTTATTAGTTCTGCTGATGAATTTTTGCGCAAAACTAAATTACAAAAGCGTATTTTAAAATTTAAACTATAAAATGACACAGCATATATGACCAGCTCTGGTGCAATGCATATAACATAATTAAGTTCAAAATATTGCTATTTATAGTAGTTTTGGCACTTAATTAAAATTAAAATTGATAATTTAGAACCAATTTTCTTGTTAAATGTACGAAAACTATTACAATTTTTAAAGAATTCAAAATTTAAATTTGAAATAAAATTTAATTTTAATTCTTAAATTGAATTAAAACCATGATTAATTGAAAGTTTTATTAGTTCTGCTGATGAATTTTTGCGCAAAACTAAATTACAAAAGCGTATTTTAATATTTAAACTGTAAAATTACCATACCATATATGACCCGCTCTGGTGCAATGCAATACGGTAATTTTTACTCATTTTAGATATCGATTAAATAACCGATTTGTTGAACATCGTTGTCCTTATCTCATTTCATTTATGCTTTTCAATGAAACTGCTCAACAATTTACCATGCATACATCAGTTTCAATTGATATTGTTAATTTATTTTTATTTTTAAAATTTTGATTACTTCTTTTAGTGCATATATTTATATTATTCATAATAAATTTTATGTAAATAATTCTTTTGCTTTTGAAAAAACTCAAGAAATTTAGAGTAAAATTAAAATTGATTGATTGTACTTTTAGATAAAAGAAATGTTTTACGCTTTGAAATACAAAAATATTGATGTATGAGATTGGCTTCAATTGAAACAAATTCTTAAAGTGGTATGCCTTAAAGTATTTCTCTTATAATGAATGCCATTTTTCCCTTATTACCCTTTGTAAATTTAATTGAAAGATTGGTATTATCAAAAAGATTGTCAGTAATATTTGTGCTAAAAACAAATAAAAAATTTTTCCATAATGAAAAACTACACTTTAGTCATTTCAATGTAAGCGAAGTGAAAAAAACATAATTACAATCTTGGTCATCAAAAAATGTTGTTGACACATTATTTGTTCATGAAAAAGCAAATTCAATAATTTAAAATTAAACAACTCAAATACAAAAATATTTACTAATCACCATCGAGAAATTATGTATATATATATAATTCTGAAATATTTCTATGCTAAGTTTTACTGATAGTATTATATAACAATTTCACTTGCAGCACTTTAAGAAAAAAGCAGTTATAAATGAATTAAAATTTGACTGATATCTTTTTCGTTTTTTTTTAAATTTTATGTTACTTTTTTTTGCTGTAAAACTTGTGAAATTTTCCTTTTTGTGTGTTATGTATCAATTCATTATTGTATAATTTTTAATGTTAATCTGTGTCTTAATTACCCAAGTTTGAGATTTGAATAATAGAGTATTTCATGTACACAAAAGAAACCATTACAGATTCGAGACTCTACCAATATCGGGGACAAAGAAGTTAGCGATGTGAACTATCAAGAAATGAAATCTACTTTGTTTCACATACAAAGCTGTAGTACAGCAATTTTTACCGCTTTGGATGATATCGCTTATAGTATAAAAGTATTTAAGTTATTGTCGAAGTTAACCCTCACTCATTCATATTTGACTGACTGTAACAATCAGTCAATGAGGAAAAACGAAATAACCTATCCATCAACATTCAAAAAAAAATCTTGAAAAAAATAATACTTAAATTATGGCAAAAACTCGAATTTTTTTTCTTTTTTTTTTTTTGTAACTAACTCTATAATATCGTATTTTTTCAGCTTTTAGGGTTATTGAATATCAATTCCATATAATATTTTGATTGCTCCGGATGACGTACATTTATTTATCAGTGAAAATTAAACAATGAAATCATTTAGCAAACATTATCATTCATGAATATATTTTGGCATCATTTAGCAAACATTATCATTCATGAATATTTCTAAATCAGGTTAAACATATCTGGTTATTTATCTTAATAATTTTAAACTCAAAATTTTTGCAAAACTTTTTCATTATCGATCTTTTTTTTTTGATATGCTCGCTAATAATATTCAGCGAATCAATATATATGTCTTCGCTGGAATTTATAATCGCTTTCTTTATTTAATATTTGCATTGCTCGCACCTGAAGTTCTTTTGTATGTAATATGATTATTAATTTCTTAATTAATCGTTTGCTAACACTAATTATTCCAATATTATTCATCTGAAATTAATGATAGCCAATATAACCAACCTTAACATGTATATCATAGCAATTATTTTGATTTTGAGCAATTTGACGTAACGCTTCCATAATCTGATAATTTTCAAGTATAAAAAAATAATTGAATTGCTTTTCAATCAACAATTCACAAGCATCTAGTGTTCGTTCTATCAAGTCATGCTCAGCATACATATTGAGCACGTGTGGTACTATACTAAGCACGTTGCTTGCACATAGCCAACGTGATCGATTTCCACTGGCACCAGTTAACGCATTTATAACTGTCCAACCTATTTCCTAAAATATGCTGCAAATTAGTAGTGAACTTTTATGAAATTACAATTTGAAACGATTTAAAACCTTGCGAATGCGATAATCATCGTATTAAAGAATGTGTCAGTAAGTATTTCAACGATATCATTCGTTTCAAACAGTAAATCAATTTGTCGCTGTGAACCAGCCGCTATATTACTAAGAATCCACATTATTTCGCGTTTTTGATTAATTGGCATCATAGGTCCAAATAATTCCATCTACAAAATAATTACATTACTTAATATGAAAAACAAATTTATATTTGCATTGTTAAGATATGATTTTTACGTACAAAAGTACTCGTCAAATAATGCATTGACTTCATTAACTCATACCGTTTCTCTACAGATGCAACAATATCACTAGAAGACATTTTGATTAATTCATTAACGCATACCGTTTCTCTACAGATACAACAATATCACTAGAAGACATTTTGATTAATTCATTAACTCATACCGTTTCTCTACAGATGCAACAATATCACTAGAAGACATTTTGATTAATTCATTAACTCTTACCGTTTCTCTACAGATGCAACAATATCACTAGAAGACATTTTGATTAATTCATCATTTTGATTAATTCATTAACTCATACCGTCTCTCTACAGATGCAACAATATCACTAGAAGACATTTTGATTAATTCATTAACTCATACCGTCTCTCTACAGATGCAACAATATCACTAGAAGACATTTTGATTAATTCATTAACTCATACCGTCTCTCTACAGATGCAACAATATCACTAGAAGACATTTTGATTAATTCATTAACTCATACCGTCTCTCTACAGAAGCAACAATATCACTAGAAGACATTTTGATTAATTCATTAACTCATACCGTCTCTCTACAGATGCAACAATATCACTAGAAGACATTTTGATTAATTCATTAACTCATACCGTCTCTCTACAGATGCAACAATATCACTAGAAGACATTTTGATTAATTCATTAACTCATACCGTCTCTCTACAGATTCAACAAAATCACTAGAAGACATTTTGATTAATTCATTAACTCATACCGTCTCTCTACAGATGCAACAATATCACTAGAAGACATTTTGATTAATTCATTAACTCATACCGTTTCTCTACAGATGCAACAATATCACTAGAAGACATTTTGATTAATTCATTAACGCATACCGTTTCTCTACAGATACAACAATATCACTAGAAGACATTTTGATTAATTCATTAACCATACCGTCTCTCTACAGATGCAACAATATCACTAGAAGACATTTTGATTAATTCATTAACTCATACCGTTTCTCTACAGATGCAACAATATCACTAGAAGACATTTTGATTAATTCATTAACTCATACCGTCTCTCTACAGATTCAACAATATCACTAGAAGACATTTTGATTAATTCATTAACTCATACCGTCTCTCTACAGATTCAACAATATCACTAGAAGACATTTTGATTAATTCATTAACTCATACCGTCTCTCTACAGATTCAACAATATCACTAGAAGACATTTTGATTAATTCATTAACTCATACCGTCTCTCTACAGATTCAACAATATCACTAGAAGACATTTTGATTAATTCATTAACTCATACCGTCTCTCTACAGATTCAACAATATCACTAGAAGACA